AAGAAGCACTGACTCTACCCTGTACCAAAAACGAATATTTAAAAAAAAAAAAAAAATAAAACACTACTAACGCGTCAGTTTAAAATATAGACAATGAACAAGCACTGATTCTAATTTCACAATATAATAAATGAATTTAATTTAAGCTATTATATTCTAAAATATAAAAAAAGTTACTAGAAAACTAACACTGAATCTATCAACCACATTGCACGTGGTCCCAAAAATTCTCTGGAAATAAAACTGTATTATTATGAAACTATATATTATAATGAAAGAATTAGAAAAAGAAGGAAATTTATATTCCATAAAAAACAAAATTTTTTTGTTTCTTCTTTTTGTTTAAACATTTGTTTCAGAAAATATTCAGAAATTTTCACAAATAAAAAAATTTCATATATAAAATAGAATGCATATTTTTAAATTATTATTTAAACTAAAGTATTATGTTTATTTGTAATGAATATTCATTATAAAAATATAATTATACTCTGAAATAATAAAGTATATTAAAATGATTGAATAAAAACAAAATAAATACATACAGTACACAAGCAAAATATCAAACTTCTCTTTGGAAAAATATGATGACGTCCATATTGAAATTTTTCCCTCCTTTGAAGTTGATCCAATAATCAATTAATCTGTATAAAAGAAAATAAGAATTTTCAAATAAACATATAAAATGTATAAAATTAATCGATTATATTAAATTAAAATAATAATCAAACGCAAATTCTTTTTTAAAAAGTTATAATATGAACGTTATAATATGAACTAGTTAGAACTATAACCATTAAATAATGAATAAAGAAAAGCAAATAATTTACCTTCGAAAAATTGTCGATTATAGTAATAAATATATTAATTGAATTATAGTAATAAATGTGTATTGATCGAATATTACAAATGATAAATATAACATTATAGAAGGAAATATATATTCGGCAAATAAATCACACAGCACATAAAGAAAAATGGAACTTCTAATTATTACAATATCGTTAGTACAATAACTCACCGCGTCACAATTTCGATTATCGAATTGAGAATTGCGAATCGATTATCGATTAGAGAGAAAATACGCGGCAATTCAGCAATTCGAAATATGTTGAAATATATCGAACCTGACACGAACTTTCAATTTCTTGAAAGATGATATGAAAAAAAATGTCATCAATCTCGAATATTACATTGAACGAAAAAAGAAACAGAAATATAAACAAGACATACGAAAAGATGTGAATTAGATTAGAAATGTAATATCTAGTAAATGTAATATGTAATATAATTATTTTTATAAAATAAAATGGACTTTGTATATTCGTTTCAATACAGATAAAAAAATTATAGAAACTTGTTAATAATCTTTGTTAAAAAAAATAAAACATCAAAGTCAACTATAAATCATAGTGACATATGCATACTACAAATCATTTTTTCTTCTGATTGAAAATCTGATGAAATTATTCTGATAATAGAACGATTTTTCCAAATAAAAATTAAAAATAAAAAACGTAAAACAAATATAAAATAAAAAAAAACCATATTATGATAAAACAATAACGTGAATTCAAATCTTCACGAAATACGAGCTACCGGTAACCTCGACAATTAACGAAAAGTACAAAGAAACTCGAAACAGTAATTAATTGATGACAATAATAAATAAACAAAAGTGATAATAATTTATAAATTCGATAACAGAATAAGAATAAAATTACTTACTGCATACTCGATGATGAATTGTTGTCAATGAAAATTGAATAACACAACCTCTCACGATGACTTCTCACAGGAGACTGCCACATACTATATTTGAATAGAAGCATTCTGATTGGCTAGCATTTATGTGAATTCTACAATCGAAATCGAATAGAAAAATAATTACGTAAATAATATATTTTAATTATTCTAATTAAATATATATAAAACTATTAATTTATTATTACATATTATTAATTTATTCATTTAATAATTATTTATTTAATGTCTATATTTATATTTTTTTATTAATTTATTTATTTATTGATTTTTTTATCGATTATCGATTTATCGATTATATATCGATTTATATATTTGTCTAACGATTTTTCATCGATCTTAACGGTCGTGTTAGTATTTTTTTCTTTAAATATTCGTTTCAAATACAAATTACTTAAATATTAGTTAAATATTAATTAAATATCAGTTTTGGTTACAATTAGTGCTTCTATCAAGAGAATAAGTGATTAAAATAAACATAAATAAAATGTACATGCTTATTTATGACGTGAAAGATTGAATTAATTATATTTTATTAAGATTTTTATCAATAGTTTGAACAAAAAAGATAATAAAGTTGAATTAAATATTGGTGCGTGAATTTTATAAAGTGAAAAAAAAATATCGATAAGAAGAATAAATAGTATATTAAAGATAGAAATAAGGTAAAAATTAGTATTATTTAAAGTGTCATACATGAAATTAGAAATATAGACAAAAAGAATATGATAAAAAAGATGAATAAGAATTGACCATCAACTCCATCTGTTGAATGCCAATGATATCTCTTCAAAGAATTATTTTTCTAAAAATTCACTAGATTGCGCAAAAGGTCAGTTTTCATCTTATCTCTATCTTTTTCCTTCTATTTACTTTTCTTGTTTATTCTTGTGTTTCATCTGCGGCACTCTAGAGATGGCGCTGATTTCATAATTTTTCCTATATCTCTATTCTTGTTTCACTATTTGTTCTGTTTATTCATATTTGTGTTTTATCTACAGCATTCCAGAAATAGCACTGATTTTCAAATTTTTATTCTATCTCTGCTCTGTTTCTATTATTTTTATCTATATTTATTCGCATACGATGAGATACGAAATGTCAATTAAACTTTCTCCTATCTTTTTTAAAATTACAACGTAAAATTCTAATCTTTAATATAGAAAATTTACATATAACCTTAATTTTACAATATATTTCTTGGTTGATAATTTTAGAAAATGTAATATACCCTGAATGTTTATATATGAATGTTTCAACGCAAGATATCATTCAGCTTCAACGCTGACTTATTTCATTTAATTATTATTATTAATTTTTCAATTTAAGTTTTTTGATAGTATTTTTTTTAACAACATTTAAAACTATTTTTAAACTGGTAAGAATTTTTATTTATATTATTTTATTATATTAATCTATTACAATTTCGTTTAGTATTCTTATTTTTTTTATGTGTCAATTTTATCGTCGAATATTTATTATAAACAAAGATATAATAATTAAGGTATAGTAATCAAAAGATTAAATACGTAGAAAGAATATTCCAATAAAATTTTTTTATTAAATCATGTGAAAAGAATTTTTTCAGAAAATTCAATTTACATACGATGATATTGTAGAAATCAGTTGTAGCTTAATAAACAATATCTCGCATAAAATTGAAACGAATATTTCGAGCAAAGTCAACGTATACAAGCTTTCACCAGAGCAGCCTGTAGCCAGAGGCTACGATCCTCATTTTCTCTTCTTTCAACTACATTTCGTTTGCACGTTCTTTTTTCAATACAGTCTCTCGGTCGCTCCC